GGGGGGGGGGGGGGGGGGGGGGGGGGGGGGGGGGGGGGGGGGGGGTTGTTGGGTCGCTCGTACCCATAACGAGCAAAACATGCTAGCATTAGCATTAGCATTAGCATTAGCACTAGCATTCAGCTCTAGCTCTAGCTCTAGCTCTAGCTCTAGCTCTTGCACTAGCACTAGCACTAGCATTAGCATTCCTTCCGAACCGGCAAGGAAATCCGACAAAAAAAAAAATGGGTCTGGGCCTGTTGTTTCGTTGTTGCTCCTGCTGGTCGCGCTGGCTGCCGCTACTGGGACGGGTTGGGACAGCAAGCGCCATCCTGTGTAGATTCTTGTGGTTGTTAGTGATGGAATTGTGTTGGTGTCTCGCACTGCTTGCTGTTGCCACGAAAGTGTGCTTTGTTGGCAATATTACGGGTGTCTTCCGCTGCGTTTGGCAAACGAAAATCTACACATCATCGTCCGACAGATATCTATGCTATTTCATCTCAATTTTGCCCGAGCGATCATTCCCAAGACACCGCTAGGGAGCACCAAACCAAGCGCCCACAACAGACATGCCTACAGCAACCGAACAATCGCTGCTTGAGCACCATCTGAGGCAACACAAGCACGACAAAACCAAACCAAACCAACCACACTTCGGCGCCATGCAAGACAACAAGCAAACTTCTAAAATGACCCAACAGTCAATTGAACACAAAAAAACACCTGTCGAGCACGACACAACTTGAGAGAGAGAGAGAGAGAGAGAGCGAGAGAGAGGAACACACACACACCAACAGCGGCAGCTGCCGGCTGTGCACGAAGCCCTCCAGCTCCTGGAGGAGCGCGTTGCACTGCCATAGCTTCACGTCCGGCAGCTCCGGGTTGGAGTAGAGGTGCGTGTTGGCCACGCACAGCTGCCCCGCCGCCGGCGGGACCTGCCGCCCCCGCGGCCGCTGGAGCACCTCCAACACCGCCACCTTTTGGGAAAAACGAAAGATAAAGAGAGAGGGGGCGAGGGGGGGAAGAGAGACAGAGACAGAGGGAAGGAGGGAAGGAGAGAGGAAGAGAGGGAGATTAGCAACACGAGGCGGTTGATCTGTTCGGAGCACTTTCAACACCGCCACCCTTCGAAAAAAACAAACGGCAAACGACGCAACAGCGAATCCGCTGGTCGAAAACCGACTCAGCTGGATACATCTTCGTACTTGTCGCAGAAAACAGACACAGCCGTTTTTGGTGTCCTTCGCCCAAACAAAAAAAGGAGAGAAGAGAGAGAGACAACACACGGAGATTATCGCCGAGGCGCGTGCGTCAAGACGACCGCATGTACCCCCCCGAAGCCCACCCTGCCCCACACCTTTCGGCGTCTCCCCCACTCCAACTAACCACAAGCACAGAAACTACGACCTTGTGCCTTGTGCGCCCCCCACCAAGACTTCCTCCTGCCCCCCTCTACACCTTTCTTATGTACCCCCGCCAGGACC